AGCTTCGCCGGACCCCACACTGTACATGGAGATGGTATGGTCCGTTGCCGTGCAAATGACATGCTGGGTGTCGGCTGTCGTCACCATGTGTCTCACACCTGTCAATCAAATGTATTTGAAAATGCATCTGTTTTGGTATAAATGATAAATAGTATGGGGAAATTGAACTTTGCCCAAATCAAAGAGTAACACAAATTTTCAACCATGCAAACTTCTGGACAGTAATGGTTTTANCAGTTGAGGTCAACCACACTCTTCATCAGCTCCAAAGGACGAACCCCCCCACAAGGCTCAAAGGTCCACTTTTTGGTCCACTTTTTATGTAAAGGTCCAAGATTTTTTGCTGAAAAGATGGATTGTAATCGTAGAAAAACTGCTCCCTGTGTCTTGGAAATCCTCTCAAAAACGCACGAAATGCCATTTTAGAAGGTTCATCACGGCAGTCTGTCACTATGGCATTCTTTCCCATTGCTATGCGCGTTCAAAAAGGTATCGGGTTACAAGACGCTATTTTGGCCAGTTTTGGACTACCCGTAAAATATTTGAAAATAAACAATTAATATTTAGGCGTAAATTTCGTCAAATTAAAATGAAATTATCGTCTTAACATCCTTTAAATGTTAGCTTTTTATGTTAAATCACTGATTTTTTAAAATTTCGCTCAGAAAGACGATTATTTTCGGGTTTCCGGGCACAAGTCATATCACGTTTTTAGGCAAACATCGTTCAAACCTGGCTACGTATATTACCCTAGATCCCCGATTTTAATATTTTTCGCAGACTAGGAATAAGATAAAAAATCGTGTTTTAGGGATTTTTTAATTTCTGATTTTAAGTCTAGTTTTTGTCGACATATTGGTGAAAAAATGGCATTTTTGGACATTTTTCTCACTAAATTACCCATAATTCAAAATTGAGGCCATTTTTTCAAAAATCCCTAAAACACGATTTTCGGGACAACCGTAACGGTCATTTTGAGCCGTAAATGGGGTATGTTTGACTCTCCATGTTTCCAGGTTTGAACGAGTTTTGGAGGCATGTCATATCGCCAGAAAGTGTGCATTGTGTTATTCATACTGGCGTAAAGAATCATTACAGTATTCAAGGTCACTCAAGGATACGACAGTAGCTTCGCTACATGGTACATGTCCACCAAAAATAATAGCGGACATTGACTGTCCAGGAAACTGTTTGTATCTATAGAAAAGTGTTGTTTTTATCTGTTGCAATGCACGGAGGCAGAAAGGCTTGTTTTGCCGCTTTAAAGTAAATGACCGCAGGTGACCCCGAAATAGAACGCGGGTTCGATTCGAATTGCCCAGATCGAACACGATCGAACACAGTTCGGGTTCTATGACATGTGGGAACTTTGCAGCCCAGATTTTACCACCGTGCATTTTTCAAAATTTTCCGTGGGAAGAATGCCCCCGGACCCCCTAGGAACCTCGCGTCTTAGGCGCTCGCCTCTTGCCTACGTACGGCGCTCGAGGTTCCCCCAAGCAGTGGAAAGAACCCCCCATTCAAAATCCTGGCTACGGGCATGTGTCCAGACTTCTCTGACAACTATCTACCATTGTCATCAGTCAAAAAAAAAGAAGACAAATCTTCCCTCGTCACGCCTGCCCCCATCACACCGTAACCTCTGATTGCCAGCCTAGTCTATGGGCGTAGGCCAGTGACAAACTGCCTACAAGACAGAATAGCAAAGTTCTTTTTATCACAACCATTTATTTTTCAAGCCGACGTTTCGATGACCGTCTGTCATCTTCATCAGGGCAATTCTGACTGGTTTACTGTGCACTGACACTAGATGTTACTTGGTGCATAGTGCACTAAAGGTGTTACATAGTTCATAGTGCACTTAAGCTAGTTTTTTCTGTCACATTACATTCCGGAAGGTAGTGTAATTGTGACATACATACTAGGCATTGTTATGAAAAATAAATGGTTGTGATAAAAAAACTTTGCTATTCAGTCGGTTACCAACCTGATGAAATTATTTACGGATGCCTACAAGACATTTTGCCTCAAATTTATTTATCCACTG